TCAAAGGTTAAGACTGTAACAGGTATACTACATCACGTATTTCTTGAATTCCACTGCTCAAGAACATGTCAGAGTTGAAATTTGAATGGCTTTCTCTGTTTTATGGCTTAATTGTAGTCGTTGCTTACATATTGGTGTACGGAACTGGGCTCTTGGGTAGCTTTCTTTTCCAAAAAATGATTGAAAATCAGTCATTCCCGGGTAATTTAGTCAACAACCTGACAAAAGAAAAAAAAAAACAAATGCTCATGTTTATTTACTATACAATGTATGTACGTTTGCAGAAGAATGGATTCTTGCCATGGAGTTGTATCCCGGCTTTTCTCTGTACCGCGGGTTGTATGAGTTCTCGCAATATGCCTCCCGGGGAAACGGGATGAAGTGGCAAGATCTCAGTGATAGCGGAATGGGTGAAGTTTTCTGTATCATGTCAATAGAGTGGTTTCTTGCTCTCATTGTAGCCTACTATATCGATCAGGTTTTCACATCCGGAAAGCATCCTTTCTTTTTCTTGGTGAACCCTTTCAAGAAACCTTCTTCCCTACCAAGGAGGCCTACTGTGCAAAGGGTGGATTCTAAAAAAGTCTCCATAGATATAGAAAAACTTGATATCACTGAGGAGGTATGGAAGAAGTCAAGTCTTTTTTTTTTTTTTTTTTTTTTTTTGCCGTTCCATTAATTTTTCTCATATTTCAAAGCCCTCCTGATAACAAAGAATAATAATAATAATAATCAGAGGGAAAAGGTTCAAAAATTGAGGAATGAAGGTAGCACAGGGCATGCGATCTTGTGTGACAACCTGAAAAAGGTTTATCCAGGTAGAGATGGTAACCCGCCAAAAATGGCAGTACGAGGGTTGTATCTCAGCGTTCCTTCAGGAGAATGCTTCGGCATGCTTGGACCTAATGGTGCCGGCAAAACTTCCTTCATCAGTATGGTTAGTCTTCATTAGTATGGTCAGTTTTGCAAACACAAGTTTCAGAGTGTCAAATTTGTAATATATCTAGCTTATTTTCTTGCTGCGCTGGACAGCTCAGTATGCCCAAAACCCCGGGGCCCTTTTTTTTCTTCTTCTCTTTTTTTTTTTTTTTTCTCTTTTTT